CACCCCCCCACCCCTCCCCGGGAAGCCACACCCTCCGTTTTTACAAAGGTGAATTCAAATTTCTCTTGCCCAAGGATTTTTTAGACAAAATTTGGTAAAAATCACTCCTTTCGTACAGAGGGAGAGGCATTTTAAAGCTCAATTGCGCCCCACCCCTCTGCCCAGGGGGGACAACATTAATACTTTCCATTTATACCAAAACTTTTGTATACCCTTTCCTGGATTTATGCCAAGTACACACTGGTTTGTTTTTGGTATATACATACTAATATCATGATAGTGTTTGTCTCTTGATGCTAAATAAGGTTATGGGGCAGGGATCTCAACTGTTTCAAAGTTATGGCTTAGAAATCAAGTCCCTAGGGGTGGGGCCTGACCCCAGGGTAATTTCTTTTATGATAGTTGTGTTTGTCTCTTGATTGTATACATGGTAATAGGGTGGAGATCTTTATAATGTCAAAGTAAAAATTATTGTTTGCCTCGCCCCTCATAAGCAGAGGTCAGCCTTTCAACTGGCACAATTTCTCAACCACCGAAGAATGCTCCAAACCAACCTGGTTGATATCCATCACTTTGTTCCAGAGAAGAAGTAAATTTAAACAATATGGCCAAATTAGTTCATTTTGCCTGAGGATGCTCTAAACCAAATTTGATTCAAATCCCTCCATTCTTACAGAAGGAGAAGGATTTTTTAAATTTTCCTTTTGTTTTCCTACCCCTCTGCCCCCAGAGGAGCCAACCCTACATTCATACAAAGTTAATTCTCCTTGCCCGAGTAATATGTTCTAGACAAAATTTGGTTAAAAAGCCTCCATTAATACAGAAGGAGAAGGATTTTAAACATTTCTTCCGAAAACATGTTCTCCCTAATGGGCCCCATCCCTCTGCCCCCAGGGGGGCCACATCCTTTTTTTATACAAAATTGATTTCTCCTTGGCCAAGTATGTTCTAGACAAAATTTGGTTAAAATCCTTCCATTTGTACAGAAGGGGAATAATTATATATTTTTTACCCAAATTCCCCTATAAGTGCCCCGCTCATCTGCTCCAAGGGGTGGGGGCACATCCTCCATTTATACACACTATTAAGGACCCTTGTCCAAGGATGCTCTAAACCCAATTTGGTTCTATTTCCGAAATTCATACAGAAAAAGAATTTTAAACCTTTTTCCCTATGTTCGTCCTAATGGGCCCCGCCCTAATCTGCCCTCAGGGAAGCCACACCCTCTGTCAATACAAAATTGAAGTCCCTTTGCCCAAGGATTTTTCAGACAAATTTTGGTTAAAATTCCCCCATTTATACAGATGGAGAAGATTTCTCACGATTTACCTCAATTTCCCCTATTGGGCCCCGCCCCTCTGCCCCCAGGTGGGCCACACCCTCCGTTTATACAAAATTGAGGGTACTCCAGGCCAAATTTAGTTAAAATCCACTAAGCCGTTCAGGACTAGTAGCATTTTAAAGGAAAAGTTGACAACGGATGCCACGCCAGGGCATAAGCTCACTTGCCCTTTAAGCAGGTGAGTTAAAAATGCTTCTTATAATACACACAAACAAATAGAAATGGCAAATATATTAAAGCACACATTGAAACCATCTACGAAGTGTTTCCTTCTCGATATAAATATCTCCCTATCAGGACGAGTTTAAAGGTTACGTACCCGCCACCTTGTGGGTGATATAAATATCTCCCTATCAGGACGAGTTTAAAGGTTACGTACCCGCCACCTTGTGGGTGGTTTAAAGGTTACGTACCCGCCACCTTGTGGGTGATACAAATAGACTTATTTGATCCTTTGATATTGTTGAATGCGAGAAGAAATTTAATATTTATATTTGAAATTAAATGTCTTAGCCTGCATTTCGTTACATATTTAAATGTCTTGGCCTGCATTTCGTCACATATTTAAATGTCTTAGCCGACGTTTTGTCACATATTTAAATGTCTTAGCCTGCGTTTCGTCACATATTTAAATGTCTTGGCCTGCGTTTCGTCACATATTTAAATGTCTTAGCCTCCGTTTCGTCACATATTTAAATGTCTTAGCCAGCGTTTCGTCACATTATTAAATGTCTTAGCCTGCGTTTCGTCACATATTTATATGTCTTAGCCTGCTTTTCGTCACATATTTAAATGTCTTAGCCTGCGTTTCGTCACATATTTAAATGTCTTAGCCTGCGTTTCGTCACATATTTAAATGTCTTAGCCTGCGTTTCGTCACATATTTAAAGAATGACATACTGTCTAATCTACAGAATCTTGAAGTTCAATATTCCTGAGTGGGAGTTCCAATGTTTCAAATTTTTCCAGATGCTCCGGCAAAGTTGGAAACATCGCAGTTTGACTGTAGTTGGAAGTTGGGTGTCTTACCACTGAAATCTGAAGGACAGGTATCAGCCTAGTGATAAACCGTTTTTATGCCTGAAATCATGTAGCGAACCACATGCCTTCCATCTTGTCACGACATACTCCAAGGATATGGAGT